TTTGCTGCCCTAAAACACTCTGTTCAGGCCACCTTGAAAATAAAGGTCTTGTAGCTACAATTCTGTTCCCAGGTATGGCGCGCATCAGGCTTCACAGACAGTGGAAATAGCTTCTTCCCGGCTTTGCACTGCGAATCAGCCCCACAAAAGCGCTGGCTTTCGTTTTGCAGCTTCTCAGGTTCTTAATAAGGATTTAGAAACACATACCATCACAACACTCATCAGTTATTCAACACCTTCGTCTTTGGGCCTGTGGTGTTGTATGTAAGGTCAGGTCTTCATGGATTGGAGAAGCACAGGCAGAATCAAGGCAGATCCTCACGGCAGGTAGCACAGACAGAGGTTCACGCCGTTGTGGCTACCACCTGTGGCCACCCAGTTGCTGGATCTCAGGCAGCCTCCAGGAGTATAGGAACCAGGGGCCCTCGTTCGGTCTAGGGTTTTTGGTCACGGGATCCGCATTGTTGTACTTGTTGGTAGCTTAGTGGACCCGTGTTACTGCCTGAAAGTAACAATGGAAGTGGATGAAACATGGGCCCTTGAAATACCCTTTTCCTCTATAGAAACAGGGGGTGAACTCTACTTTCATTGTATTGGTTTCAGGGAGAGTTAATGGACTCTGATTATGAATCCTTTCACACGCTCCCATGATTCAGAGCGAACATCTCGAAGCTTCAATCTGCTTTGCAAGTCTCACCATTTTGATCGGACAGTGTCCGAGAGTCATGCTGAATAGCTTAAGATAGTTTAATTCCTCAGCCAACGGATGAAGAATTGATTGACACTTGTGGTCCTTCACCCCACAGAAACATGATGCGGGGTAGGTTTGTTGAACTGATCTCAAGACAACCCCCCAAACAAGGAATTTTTTGAGAGCCGTCTATATAAAAGTTGCCTGGTCAAAACTATCCCTCTTGAAATACCCAAATCTTACACATCGCCATGCCCTAGGGTTCCAAATATACCTTGTATACGAAGGTGTTTGGTGCCAGGAGGCTCCAGTCATAGCGAACCTGAGGATGTGTACCCAACTTTGGTAGATCTCATGTCATCAATCCCAACCAAAAGAGACCACCCTGACCTCCACCCCCTGCCAGAGCGACCCGGTCGACCGGATGGATTCGCGGTGCGCATCCGCTGCGCCCGCCCAGTTATCCCGAGCTCTCGTGCGCCATGTTGACGCGCTGCATGATCAGTCCAGTGGAAGAGACCGGGCTACGACCCAAGCAGGCGGTCCGTCTGACCGTTTACGGGCCGGGCCGACGGTGGGCAGGAAGAAGGAAAACAGTGTGACATCTTAGTGGATCTCCTGGTGTTCTGGTGGTGTTGCTTGTGATTTTTCTGGTGGTGGTTTGCTTGTGGTGGTGGTGTTGCTAGTCGGGCTTTTTTGCTAGCCGGTGGTGTTGCTGGAACCCTGGTGTGGTGGCGGTGGTTTCGGTGCTTTCGTCTTTGTAGACGGGTGCTATCGAAGGTTGAAGCTCGCGAGTTCTCGTGCCGAAAAAGGAGTGGGAAGTTCTTGAGGCCGAAGTAGAGCTCACCCTTATACCTCTTCAGAGCAGATCATTCACAAACAGTTACACAGTGTGTTTTGCTCTTGGGTATTAGACCAGAATGCAACGAGAGACGAAGCTGCAACAACACCCTTCATCATTACAGCTCAACATGGCCCCTGGAGTACATTACATTTTGTTGAACCCAGCTGGAGCTGACAAGGATACCAGCAATGTTAAAGGGGGCAACGCCCTTGCACGGTCAAACTGGCTGACGGACCGGCCCTTGTTCGTGCCACGAACCGTATTTTGTTCAGTATTTTTGGGGTTAAGATCTGCTCGGGTTAGGTGCCAGAATGTTTTGAATCATCGTTTCGTTGTCGCTTCCCTTGTCGCCCAGATCTGATCATGTGTTGGTGCTTGTGAGGTAAACTCGATGGTTTCACTGTCGACATTCCGTCTTTTACAGCCTTTTGCTGCCACGTTCATTGTAGGAGGTTTTGAATTGACTTCCACAAATGAGGCAGTGGACCAAAAACTAAACCCTATGCCACATGGATGACATCAACGGTCTTGGTTTTTGTCCGCCCATCCACCATCCACTGACTCCACGTGGCCCAGCCTATCCAATCTATCTACGGTGGTGGACGACGGTGGTAGACTGCGCTGCAGGCGGTGAACTTCCTGAAGATCTTCGTTTGTTTGCTACGAGACCGGGCCTTGTCTCATACGGGTTTGAAGCGCCTGGCCATCGGCCTGGAGACCGCCTTATTGATGGACAGCCCCAAGGCCTGCGGGCTGCGCATGCGGCGTTTTTCGGGCAGAAGTCCGGCTGGGGAGCGGTTCAAGTGATTGAAGTGGTCCAGGAATTGCCATGGTCAGTTCGTTGGTGTGATGTTTTTCTGTAGGGTGGGATGAAACGGAACGAAGGAGCATGCGATTCCAAATCGAGATGTGAGATCGAGTATTCAAAAAACAGGAGGTTCCAGGTTCGCTTGACCGGTTCCTTGCTTAGAACACTTCATGTTCTTTGACTTCTTTCATGTCACACCGTTCAACCGTGGGCCGTGGTTGGCGTGACCGTTGTCGACCGAGCAGGATCGCTTTCGCTCGGGGATCGGTTGAAGGCGGTGTCCCGACAGTGGCCCCGGGTTAACCACCTTATGCCAGTCCCATGGAGTGTTTGGGATACCAAACAATGGTTTGGATGCAAACGGATTCAAGATGATTCAACAATTTCAATCCACAAATGATGTGAAGCAACAGAATTAGCGACTCGTATGTGGATGAGCTCCCACTAAATCGACTTAACATAGATACCTAATAATAGGATCCAAGCACAAGTCATACGTCAACAGTCAACAAGCTTATCCTCGAAACCTACAGCGATCCAATATCAGTTCGTCTAACAGTCTATCACACACAACCCGTTTCTTTTGTTGTAAAGCTTGGCGAGTCGGTCGGGGATCTATCTGAATTGCACCGCTCCTTTGGTTTCCGGAGCCACCATGAAATCGAAGAACAGGAGCAAATCCAATGGAAATCCAATGGGAATCTTTGCAGAAAGATCCAACAACCTGATTTTTGGACATGGAGGTGTCGGTTTGTTTCTGTTTATTCTTATCCGTTTTATTCCACACCCTTTGGGCACTAACAGCCTCTTGTTTTCAGGCAAAGGTCCTGGTTAGCACTCAACCCGCCAGGGGCTTTGCGGCATCCTAGCCCAGAGGGAGTATGAGCTCCTGGCCGATTTATTGGAGGCCAGGGACTCAGGTGTGGGCGGGTCAAACGGGTTGACTGTTTCACTCTGATTGGCTGATTCTGTTCATTGGTGACCGTATTAGTCAGTACTAGGACTGATTCTGTTCATTGGTGGTTGAACCAGGGGCTCAAGGTTTTGATCCACAGCCAAGTGGAAAACATATGTTGCAGCCAAATGCATAGCTTCATGAAGCCTGTCAGGCTAGGTTATACCTCGTACAAATGGCAGGAGTGATTTTGGGAAAACACTGCATGCTCGATACATCTCGATACAGTAGTTTTTCTCATCGTTATGGACATGGAACAAATTGCCCTCGGTTCAGTGTAGAGTACACTTTTGTCGGACCCCTTCAGTATTCTTGGCTCGAGACCTTAAAGAGATTCCGTATTGATGCCACTATGCGGGACGGAAATGAAGAACAAGGGTATGGAGTCAGCCTGGAATAAGGCTTGGGACATTTCCTGACGCTTCAGTCCTACTGCTGTTTGTTGAAAAAGGCTCGCTGTAGGTGCATGTATATAAAAATTTACTTCACAATGACTTCAGAGGCCGTACATGACCTTTGTTGAAAAGGTCGTTCCAGTTGAGATATGATGGGCTTTGGAGCAATCATATATCATTCTCATTCTGGATCTACGCGGGAACTCTATTCATAATTGTAATGTAGGAAGGAAATGGCCGGAGGATACATCCGCGAATTTAACATAACATCCAAATCATGCCAAATCAATGGCCGGAGACCTCACCAGGTTCCTTCTACACAGATCATGGTGAATCGGTCGGGTGTCGCCTGGGCGCAACCCGCGGGGTCACGTCGGCCGCGGGAGACGGCCGCGGGACGCTTCGCGACGGTCGCCCCGTGGGGCGCGTGGAGCGGAGAAAGGCACTGTCCACCTTCCAAGAATCCGCCCGGATGCCCGACGCGTGGACGATTTCGTCAGTCAGTCGGAGGTAGGACCTTAGAATCAGGTGGCTAGGAGAGGTGGTCAACAGGTGTTTCTCCTTTGATTTTTTTGGGGGGGTGGAGGTGGTCTCGAAGAGAATCAACGGAAAAAGGATGAACAAAGGCGTGATTGGTTCTTAATTAGTTGATTGATGTTTCCTATCTTTCCTGGTTCAGAAAATATCATGTGTTTATCATACAGGTGCCTTGTTGGTGTGCAGCATCTCAACAGAAATTCTTCATCTGGGCGTTGCACTTCCTCCACTTCGCTGCCGAGCCACTTCGCGTGGGGAGTAGCAGTCTACGAAGGTGAAAGCTAGTTTGAACATATGTGCAGGATTTCCGAGGAATGTGCTAGTGCCCACACTCTTCAAGTGCCAGTATTTACCCTTCAATGGGACATGACTTGGACATGACCCTAAAGTTTAGCCATCTTTGGGTTGAAGTGGTTGCCGTTGTGAGAAATCTTACAGTATCAGTCATCCCTTCCGGAAGCCACACACACAAACCTGGAAGATCACTTGTTGAAGGAACAGTTCTCGTATACCGTCTAGATCCGTCTATCATCTCTCAGGACATATCACCAGATATCCAGTGTGGCACATGTATGCCGTTTCAACTTACTTACTGTATATTTTCAAGTTCACCAGTGGGTCCCTTAGGGAGAGTACAGTTGATCTGCTGCCTGGATTGACTCTTGCACAGCAACGAAGCCGCATCCTCCGCAGCCATTGGCTTCAGCGAGCCAAGACCCCCTCTGAAACGGGGCACAGCTCGCTCCCCAAATCAGTCCGGCTTCGGACGGAGAGAAAGCTCGCGCACAAAGCATGCGCGTTCGTGTCCAGTGCTTGTGTTTCATCTTCTTCACCGAAGTATGCCACTTGGTGCCCAGTTGAAGGAGTGTAAGTGGTCGGCTAGGTGCTATGCTTGCTTGGCACTACTGGGTTGGTGTAAGAGTGTCAGCATTGACTACGAGCTTATATAAATAAGCGAATCCACAAAGGATGGGACCACAAACAACTCATGACTCATGCGTTCTTTTTTTCACAGGATGGTTTGTGGTTCGTGTTGTGCACACAAAAAGACGGATTTGTTGTCAGATGTGGAATAATTTAGATTGAAGCCCACATCAAGGAAAGTAGTCTCCCCCAGGGGTTCGTGTCCGGGAAGATCTCAAGCGTTTGCCGCAAAAAGGTGTGTCCAAACTGGACAACAAAAAGTCTGCTATTTTCGCCTACTGTCACAAGTCCATGTGAATAGTTGGACATCCTGTACTGTATGGCAAGCTGGGTGGTGCAGGATGTCTTTCAACAGTGAGACCTGAGAGATATTTCAGAACAGGTAGACGGAACTCACCTGTGGGTTCACCTGTGGGTTCACGTCCTCGCCCCCTGAATTATGACCTCTCATAAAGTCCTCCAAGACCACGTCTTGGAGCTGCTTATCCCGGCCTCAGGCTCGGTGTGCACAGACCAACCACCCCCAGTCCCACCGAAAATGGAGGTAGGACTGGAGCCCTGCTTTGGGGTATACCTGGATTTTCCAGCTATGTGAGTGTTCTTCCCTTTTCATCCACTAACATCAGAAACTTAAACATAGTTGGAAGATCTACCCTATATGAATGAACCAAAGTACTCGTTCAACTGGTCTCCCGGCTTCGCAGGGCGTTTGGTATCTCATGGTACATGTGTTTCTCAGAGGACCCGATCGACACTCCGAGTCCATCGATCTGTCACCGACCGCCATCGACGACGGCCGCGCTCGGCCGAACCCGAGGTGTTGGGCACGTTGTCCCAGAAAGCTTCCTCCACTTTGCCTCCACCGCAGCTTGACCCCGTGACTTCCTGTGTGTGTGTGTGTGTGTGTTTGTTTGTTTGTTTGTTTGTTTGTTTAAAACTTGATATGAGGTTTAGACCATTTGAAACCTGTTGTGTGTGATAACAGGTTTTTGGTGGGGGATGGTTTTGGCCATTGATGAGCTTTAAGCGGCAAGTGCATGGAATGCAGGGGGGAATGGATCCAGGCCGAGGCAATCAGAAGGATGAGGTCTTAGCAGTCGGACGCACCTATAGTGACACTTCCCGGCATATTTGTCAACATGGCAGCTGTCTATAGGATCAAATGATGTCCAAAGAGTTGTTGTTTCACGACTTTTGAGTTGATGCATGTCTTAGTCTTCCAGGAGTCACAGAGCTCCGGGTGGTGTGGTGTTTAGTCCCATCCAGTGAGTGGGTGTGACAGGGAGTGTGACAGGGGCACCCCGACTTCCTCCATGTATATAGCACCCTTTTGGGACTGCTGGTTGTCTATTTCTTTGTTTTTACTGCCAAATGCATCCAATTCAGCATGTGTTTGAGCGACATCCTTCGATTCGTCAGACTTGGACTCGTCCGACATCAAAGCGACATGTTTGGCCGAAATTGGTTGTTACCTCCCCCCCCCACAGATATGCCAATCTGGTCACCAAAGGGACCGATCTTCGATCCGCTTTCCGGATCTATCACCCATGACCTAGGTCTTCAGATACCCAATCCAATCCCATCCAGCACCCAACATCACCCAACCCATCAATTCACGAGTTCGAAGGAATCCACATCAATCCTATTGATTCACCACGGAGAGCTTCGACGACGTCGATGACCCCCGTCGTCGATCGGTCGAGGAAGCGCAGGAGAAGCGCCGAAAGGCCGGGGTTTTCGGGGGCATCGCGGATCGGTGTTTGGGGATTCGTTCGGGCAGCCGCCACTCCATATCCAGTGTATGCAACTATGAAAAGAACGTACTATTCCATTATAATATTCTATATCCTGTTTATGGAATATGCAAAGAACATTACAGTTATATGCCCATGTATGACCTATAGATGCTGGCACGCGTATATAAAGTATTCCAGTCCCATGAAGTATTTCTTTAAATAAAGAGAGGTTTCGTTTCGCTGAGCTCCGGACACATCCCGACATAAGGGGGTCGGCAGTGCCTTGTTTCCATCTCTTTCCAGCATCGAGACAGAAGGGAGAAGAGATGGAGAACAGAAGAGACATAAGAGATCTCATGAGATCTCCAGATATTCCCAGGTTCTTTGACCGGAACCTGATGGCATGGACCCTTTATAGAAGATGATTGAAGACTATCTTCCTCTACAGCCCAGTGGTTTTCTCAGGTTTTCTCCTGTTCCATCCCTGGTCTCTTCCAGGGCATCGGGCCTACGGGAGCACCACGAAGTTCTCTTCCTGGGACGTACGAAACCCGCCCCTCCTCGGGTGCCTCCGCAATGCAAGGCCCGCGATGAGATTAAAGCGGAGCAGGATCAATTTCATCAGGAGTTGAAGGAGAGACCAGAGACCCGCCAGAGATCCAAGACCCAACTCTGGATTGAGTGCATGTGTCAAAGGCTAGCCGCGACTGAAACAGGACTATGGACTGAGTATGTGACTCTGGATCAAATGGATTTGTTGGGGTTGATGAACACCGATTAATTAGGTGCTATTGAGATGCTGTTCCAGTTGATGTATGCATGCTACCATTTTCCTTTTGAGGACCTGACTGTCAGGATGTCAGCTTAGATGACCAACAAATTGGTGTCATAATAATTGTCATAATATGGTGTCTATCTAACCCATCATCTAAGGAATGGTCAGAATAACCCGGTGTTAGTCAGGAATGGTGTCGATCTATGCTTATACTTCACTGGGACAAGCACCTTCCCTTGCTCTGCCCTTGCCAGCCGTCCGCACCACCGGTCTGGCCGATTGCCAACGTCGCGTCGGGTTTGTCTTCGGTGGCAGGAGAAGAAGAAGCGCTTGGACAAAGAGTTAGAAGACCAAGCCAAGGTGCCACTGATTCGTCCGCGTGCAGTTAGGCAAGTCCGGCAAGACGTCCGCATTCGTTGGTTTTGGGCGCGTCCGTAGGTGTCTCGGCTTGGGGGCTTGGTGCCATTGCCACAGGAAAGATCTTTCGCATCTCAGTTTCAGTCTAGTCAACACCCACACATGGTCGATGAAACGTTTGATTTCGTTCACCGTTCGTCCCTTTCACAGCATCATTCATCTTCATAATGACCGAGTCTATACGTCTAGCCTTCAAGTATCTTTAGTTTACCATGGCTTACCTGGTGTTGTAGTGTACAAATACGTACACATATTAAGTGTGTTCTATGGTGTTCCTTGGTATTCAGCATAAAATTCCATGCTTGTTGGACTCCGGGGGGTAGACCCATGACCCTCCTTCTGCGGAGAATCTCCTCCCTTGGCATCAACCCGATGGTCGTCTCTAGCCGTTCAACGACCTGACTTCATCGACCTGACTCAGTGGGGGGGATCATGGGAGAGCTGATTTCATGCAAACCTGACTTGAATCGATCCTGCTGCATCTAATTACAATTACAAGATCTGACATGTACCTAAATATAGATCTCCCAATTGATATGCCAAGTTTCTGCTTAACGAACTTGGCTGGTGTTATGGATGAAAAGACAGACATTTCGCATGTCGTTGGAAGATCTGACAATGCCAATGTTCTATTCCCTAACAATCCATGGGACTAGATCAGTTGGGGGAGAAACACGCCCATCAACTGGCTCAGGAGGAGAAGTTTCTGGAAGAGGAGGTCCAACGACTTCGCAAGGCGAGGAGGTCACGTTTACTCAGTTTACTCCGTAAGGGACGGATGAGGTTGGGCTGCCGGAACTTAATAGTACTCAGGTGTTGAAGATTTGCTCCTCGCGGCCGGCTGAGGGACCGTGGGCTCCTTGCCCATTGTTTGAAAGCGTGGCTTCTACAGCGAGCTGGCACATCCAATGTTGCCGAAAGTTCAGCTGCTTCACTTCACTTATACCATAGATTGCCTTTTACATCCTTTTACTATTGTTTGGATGATTAATAGAGCGGATACCCATGGATACCGGACCCCCAAATGTATAGCCAATAGGTAAATAGGTAGCGGACCCTTTCACCCGGCATCACGTCACGGAACTCGTTGGGCCTTGGATCATGGTCTGAAACCGAGGGCCGACGAGTCCCTCTAAGGATCTTCTTTCTGGAAGACTGTTTCCTCTACACACAGGGAGGATGTGATTGTTGGAGGGAGAGTGTGTGATGAGTAACTAAGATGCTCAGGATGAGTAGAGAGAGGGTATTTTCCATGTGAAAGTTTTGAGCATTTAATTTTCGGATGTACATGTACACATGTGACGTTACATAGTACATACATTATTTTGTTTGTTGACCTTACTGCTTTGGCTAGGCCAAGATTTCAAGGTGAGTCAGGTAAGTGAGCACAGGTACGAGAAGAGCCCCAGCTTGTTCTGCCTGTTGCCTTGCGACTTTGGGTGGGTCGATCCGAATCTTGAGCTTTTGCCGTGGGCAATAGGTGTTTGTTCATGAACATGTCCTTGCTGCAGCATGTTGGAAACAGTTTTGAGTAGTTTTGGCAGGTTGGTCGAAAGAAGGAGTCGAAAGCGAAACCAGTCTCTTGGCTTTTGAACCAACGTGGACAAGCAGGCAGTCAGGATGTGAGCATCAGCTTTAGGATTTTGTTTGGTTGAGGAACGTGTTGTGAAAAGAGCTTGGCAACAAACGCATTGAACTTTGATGTCCAAGTTTTTACATTTTCTCCTGGATGTAGAAACAAACATGTTCTTTCAGCTCGAGATGGCTCAAGATGTTCAAGCAAAGAAGTCAGTTTTTTCTTTGAATCACATCTGAACTACAGCAAGGGATCTGGTCCTTGGATTGACATGAACAAAAGAAGACAACCTTAGAGGTTCACAAGTCGGTCGAACCAAAGGGATCGAAGTGGCTCCTCCGAGCTTCCGACGATAGTAACTATAGTGTATCCGTTCCATCAAACATACCTCCGCCTCTGCCAAGCTTGTCTAAGGCCTGAAGCCTGCACAGCCGTTTTTCCCGAGAGATTCACAGGCTTCGAACACCTCTGCAGCCTTGATCTTGTTCTGTGGTATACTTGTCTTGTTCAGTGGGCTATGCTTGGAACATGTTAGGAGAGCTCATACCGGCACGATAGTCCCGGACGTTGGAACCGGGAACCCTGCCTCCAACAGAACCGAGGCATCCTTCCTCGAGCAGAGTGACATGAAGGCCACGGTCTGCGGGGGGGGTCTGCGGGCTGGAAGACATCCAACGACCCGGCGAATGGAGATGGATTTAATTGGATTTATATAGGGTGTAGCCCATTTACCAGTAACAGTCAGTAAAAGATGATCACTATTTTGAGGTGTAGGCCTGCAACTGAACCATCATCATCCACGGTTACTGGTAATGGGATATACCCAAGATTTGTAAAAGGACATGTTGGATGACTACGGAGAACCAGCAACAACATGCAACAACGATCCATGTTTCTCCTGCAAGAACACAGACTGTATATATTCAATATCTCTTTGCATGGGAGAGATAGGCACAGCACTTGCATGGTGAGCCTCGAAGTGCAGATTTCGTGGCAGGTGCAGCGCTTGGTGAACCTTGAAGGGCAGATTTCGTGGCAGGTGCACCACTTTGTGAACCTCGAAGTGCAGATTTCGTGGCAGGTACAGCACTTGGTGAACCTCGAAGTGCAGATTTCGTGGCAGGCGCAGCACTTGGTGAACCTCGAAGTGCAAATTTCGTGGCAGGCACAGCACTTGGTGAACCTCGAAGTGCAGATTTCGTGGCAGGCACAGCACTTGGTGAACCACACTCTCACTCTCACCCACACTCTCACTCTCACTCACACTTGCACTCACACTCACTCTCCCACTCTCACTCACCAGGTCCCCTTTGCTGAGCGGCTGCATGGGCCCGGTCACTATAAGAGCTTTACAGCTTTGTGGCCAATATGCACTGCGCGGAGTCAGAGGTGTCACATGTTCACCGAGAAATTGACAGATTTGTGGACGTTCTGCACATGTGCTGAGCCAGATCGATCACAGTTCACCGAGAGATTGACCGATTTTCATACCGATTCTGCATTGCACAGAGCCTGTGTAACTCGGAAGTTCTGGAATTTTCAAAATGCACCCTGTAGGTTAGCTCTGGAACTCGGAAGTTTCATGTTTCTATTGTCAGGGTTTTGGTGAACCATGTTTGACAGGAAAACTTTGACATTGCACGGCCGGAAACTTCGAGAAACTCGATCGAGTCTTTGGCGTCGATGTGTGTTTGGGGTTGGGTGTTTTCAGTTCTCAGATTAGTGTTTTCCCTTCCCGTGGTGTTTCCTTTTCCCAGATTGTTTTTTTTCGGTTCCCGCGGTGTTTCTGGTTCCCAGGTCTTGGTGTTTCCAGTTCCTGGATTGGTGTTTTTCCTTCCCGTCTTCTGTATTGTTTTTTGGTTCCCACTCTTGGTGTTTTCCCTTCCCGGAGTTCTCCCCCCAGGTCTGTGTGTTTTTTCAGTTCCTGGATTGGCGTTTTCCTTGCCCAGCTCCTGTGTTGGTGTTTTTGGTTCCCAGGTTTGGGTGTTTTCAGTCCTGGACAATGTGTTCCCTGCCCGGCTCCTGTGTTGGTGTGCCCTTTCACGTGTTTGTTTGTCAGCTTTCGTTCGAATTTCTGGCTACCATTGCCCACCGCTGGATTTGAAAGCACGTACTCGTGTCACGCAATTAAACAGACAAAGAACACTGCAAAACCGTCAAAGCCATTCGCTGTAAAAACATGTCAGTTTGCGTAAACCCACTGCCGCAAAAACACAAGGTACCCGGTGACACCATCATAACCGCGCACTGTACGAACACATAGACGAAAGCATCCAGGGCTTCATTTTTGGCCATGAGCGCTGGGAGACCCTCAGCGAAGAAGACGAGGCAGGTGGTACAAAGTTATCTATCATGTAGTGTATCGCTCCTACCAGGCCGTTACACCGCTGGATTTGAAAGCACGTACTCGTGTCACACAACTAAACAGACAAAGAACACCCCACTGTACGAACACATAGACGAAAGCATACAGAGCTTCATTTTTGGCCATGACGCGCTGGGAGAACCTCAGCGAAGAAGACGAGGCAGGTGGTACAAACTTCTCTATCATGTAGTGTATCGCTCCTACCATGCCGTTACAATTTGGCATGTAACCTTGTACCAGGCCAACTGGTGCTGGACCGCCAAAGACTATTTGCGCCAGCCTTGTGCCCTTACAGTGAAAACACCAGCCTGTAGCTTAATTGCAGCTGCTTCTGCTTACTTAGCTTTGCGCTGCTAAATCTGAGCCTACCAGCTTCTGCTAAATCTGAGAACAAACATCACATTGCATCACTTTTGAATCATTTTTGAATCATTTTAAATCCTGTTTGAAGCTTATAAAATCTTATTTGTGCACTTTTTTGCTTTAAAAGTGCAAAAAGGTGATTAAAATGATTTGAAAATGCAAAGTGTATTTGCAACTTTTGTTTCTGAACGTGATGTTCATTTAAAGCTGACAAGTAATGCTTTAATTTACTGTGTTTGAAAGTCAGCGTTTCATTGTCATGCCCATTTTGTTATGAGTGTTTTTAGGAAAAGGAAGAGGAACAGGAAGAGGAAGAGGAAAAGGAACTGTAAAACATAAAACAAAAAGGAAAAGGTCGAGAAAGAGGAACAGGACACAAAAAAATGGTTTGATTTGGTTTGTTGATTATCTATTCTACTGGTTTTCTGTGTTTTTACACAAATTTGTAACCTGATCAAATCTGATCAAAACCATGGTCTTGATCAAATTTGATCAAATGTGATGGGATTGCATGTTTTGTAAAGAACCGTAACTTCCTGAATTAAAAGTTTTGTCACAGTTTTAGTCATTAGATTGTGTTTCCTCAACCCTCCTCGCCAAAAAATTGTCCACAATTTTAGTCATTAGATGTTGTTTCCTCGTAATTTTAGTCACAAAACGGAAAAGGAAAAGGAAAAGAAAAGAAGAAAAGCAAGAGTCAGAGAAAAGGAAAAAAAGTGAAAAAGAAAAGGAATAGGAAAAGGAAGGGCACAAGGAAAAGGAAGAGGAAAAGAAACCACATATTTCTTGGGTGAAGGACAGTAAGGAATCAAAATCTAATGACTAAACCTGTGGACAAAAAAAATTTGGTGAGGAGAGTTGAGGAAACAAAATCTAATGACTAAAAGCTGTGGACAAAAATTTGGTGAGGAGAGTTGAGGAAACAAAATCTAATGACTAAAGCTGTGGACAAAAAATTTGGGGAGAGTTGAGGAAACAAAATCTAATGACTAAAACTGTGGCCACTTTTTTTGGTGTGAAGGAAAGTAAGGAAACACAATCTAGTGACTAAAACTGTGGACAAAATTGTTTGGCGAGGAGAGTTGAGGAAACAAAACCTAAGTACTAAAACTGTGGGCAATTTTTTTGGGTGAGAGAAAGGAAACAAAATCTAATGACTAGAACTGTGGACAATCTCTTTGGGGTGAGTGAAATTAAGGAAGCATTTTCTAATGACTAAAGCGGTGGACAATAAAACTTGGTGAGGGAAGTTAAGGAATTAAAATTTAATGACGAAAACTGTGGACAAAAAATTTTGGTGAGGAGAGTTAAGGAAACAAAATCTAATGACTAAAGTTGTGGACAAAAAATTTGGTGAGGAGAGTTGAGGAAACACAATCTAATGACTAAAACTGTGGCCATTTTTTTGTGTGAAGGAAAGTAAGGAAACACAATCTAATGACTAAAGCTGTGGACAAAATTGTTTGGTGAGGAGAGTTGAGGAAACAAAATCTAATTGCTAAAACTGTGAGCTGGAGCTGGATACTGGAGCTGGAGCTGGAATACTAGTTGAATACTGTTGTATTTTTTTGTCCCGAGCTGGAGTTGCACTTATTTTGCATTTTTTGCATGTTCTTTTTCGCTGTTTTGCACTTTTGTGCTTTTTTCACTTTTGTGCACTTTGTGATTTTGCGAATGTCCACTTTTTGCACTTTTTTGTCACTCTTGTGCACTTTTTTTGTCACTTCAGTGCACTTCTGTGTCACTTCTGTGCACTTCAGTGCACTTCAAATCTTATTGGTGATTAAATTTGAGGGCACATCAGCTTTGTCAACTAAAAAACGCCTCGGTGCACCATCGTGTGGCCGCGTTCCGCCTTGTTGCTGCTGATTTGTTTGTGGGGGGATGTTGCCTGCGGCGACTCGCAGGGACCAGGGCGACAGTGTTTGTGGACCATTTTCCAAAGACAAGTTCTGACCCTTAAGAGGAGAAAAAAGTCGTTTGTGCTTTGCATCGATGGATTCTGCATTGGCTGCATTCAGTGTTTTGGTTTGTTTGTTTGGCGGCATTCCGCCTTGTACGTTGTTTTGTTGGCGGCATTCCGCTTCCTTTTTTTTGGCGGCATTCCGCCTTGTTTTGGTTTGTTTGGCGGCATTCCGCCTTGTTGTGTTTTGTCTTGTTGGCGGCATTCCGCCTTGTTCTGGTTTGTTTGTTTGGTGGCCCATATACACATGTTGAAAGAGTCCTGTCTGGCATCAAAAAACATGTAGAATTTTCAAAATCTGGCTATAGCCATTTTCTATACATTTCATCTGGTTTTAGACAAAAACTTAGGTTTTGCAAGTTTTTTTTGCAGACGCATACCTGATTCGCAATTTTTAACCATTTCTGACGCTCAAATTTGTTACGGAAGTTACGGAAGTTAATAACTTCCGTAACTTTAGTTATAACTTAGTTATAAGTTAACTTCTATAAGTCCCGTATCTCAAGTTCAAAGTCCCGTAACTATGGGGGCCCCTCATTGTATGAGCCATTTTTCTTTTGAGACGACTTAGAATCGCACGCCCCATCAAGATCGATCCACGGTGGTTTTTCAGGGTCGATGGCACAGCCCAAAATATATATATATATATATGTCATGTTATGGAGTGATAGATCGAGGGTCGATAGCCACCTTTGTGGGGCGCCGATCCGACACGTGCAGCGCCACTTAACTCAGGAAGGCTCGAATGGGTGCGCGCAGACCACCGCGGCATTTGAGGCGTGCTTCCATTTTTGTTCAATTGGCTTGCCTCCATCCAAGCCACAGTGCTGTCAGATGGAAGCCATGGATGAGGACCGATCACCTCACAAGTCTCCGAATGTAATTCATTGGAGCTTGATCCCAGTCAGGATCCAGTGGCGAAGAAAAGAAAGGCAGGAACCCCTACACTCTGACCTGTAGTGGGTCATGTGGCACCCCATGCAGGTTGGTGTCCCGACGTCTTGGCTGATGATGAGGATTCTAGCATCGTCCTTGAGGCAGGTTGCAAAAACCTGAATTTTCTTCTGAAATGAATTGGTCGATCAGCCAGGACGAATCTTCGTCCTTCATGATCGACACAACGCCGACAGAGGTGCAATGTGAAGTACTGTATATTAATCTTGAACGTCTGTTCATGAATTTGCGCAGGAGCGCGGGTTGCCAAGCCCTGAAATGATGGCTTCGACCCTGCTTGAACATTCACACTCACTCTCACTCACACTCGCACTCACTCAGTCTCCCACTCTCACTCACACTCACACTCCCTCACACTCTCACTCTCCTACTCTTACTCTCACTCTGACCCACGCTTACTCTCACCCACACTCACTCTCACTCACACTCGCACTCACACTCACTCTCCCACTCTCACTCACACTCGCTCTACCTTTCACCCACACTCACTCACACCCACCTTCACTTCATCGCCACCATCACCTCTCTGGACCCCAATGCGTCTAGATCTCTAGACTTTTTGCTTACAGACCTCACGCACTGTTTGGTGTCTCTTGCCGGGATAATACATGTTCTTTCTAGAGCTGCTTTTGGTCCTCAACAGAAACAAACTCTACAGTAGAACGCTTGATGTTTCAATGCGACTCACTGTTCAACACAGTTTTCATGTGGATTTGACGGAGTGTTCCGGAAAGGAATTTGGAAGAGAACTCGTTCAAGAGGACCGCTCCACAGATCGAGCTGCCAAAGGTGAACTGCTTCATATCTTCCCTTCTCCTGCTGGTGCTCGGCGGGGTAGCTGCACTTTTGACTCGGGCGAGGGCCCCTTGGACACATGAAGCGTTAACACGACAGCTCCCAACTGTCGCTGTGGTTTGTGTGTGCTAGTTAACCGTTTGCTAGTGAATCACATGGGTTGATGTGCATCATCGCAGTAGGGAAAACAACATGTTCTCATTGTTTTCCACTGGAGTGGTTTGCATCTCCCACAGTGGACCTCCCACCCCTTTCCTAAATTGCTAAAGACATGGAGAGCTATGGGCCCGGCGTCACCGCTGTCGTGAGAGATGTTCCAAACGGGAAAGAAACCTGTCTTCATCCGCTGGATGGATAGTTTTTTGCATGGTATATAGCTTTGAACCATCAAATATTGCACAAAATCCTCCCCGAACAAAAACATTTGCTTCCATAGATGGCCTTTAAAGGCCCTTGGGTTGGTGTATTCATAGAAGATCCCCTGGTCGGACCTCATCTGTATAAAACCATTCCCGTCTGGTCGGTCATCACTTTCTGGGTCCGGTCGAGGTGGTCTTGATGGGTTTTGTTGGTGATTTCAAATGAAGATAAATGAAGCCAAGGAAAGAAGGGTTCACCGATGGTAAAGCCAATGAGGTTCCTATTGAAATCATTTCAGCGGTTTGATGGTCGAAGATGTTCCAAGCCGCTGAAGTGATAGGCCTGCGATGCTCCAAGCCCATGAAGCATGTAGTCTCCCTGAGTAAACACATCCAGGTGAGCAGCATTTTGGGGGACACTGTCTGAGAAAGACTGAACGACCAACCATGTCAATAGTACTCAAGAACATGATGTAATGGGATGTCCAACAAACTTTGAGTCTTTGAGTCACCGACTATCAGTCTCGTGAAAAAACGAATCAAAGCACCAGTCCCAAGAATCTTGCGACGAGTTTGTCATAGGGAGATTATACCAACAAAGGGGCTTCGGGGGGAGATCTCCCCAACCAATCAACCAACACACCACACCCGACCAGCACAGTTCTTTGGGAGCACCGCCTCTCAGGCTGCCGAACCCGAGGATTACCTCCGCCATGAGCCGGAAAGAAGCGCGGGAGACGAAGCCAGAGCGGCTCGTGCATGACGGCAGAGTCTGGTGATGGGGGAGAAAAACAATATATCTGGAAAATACCGCTGAAACCGCACGACGAATAGGTCAGGTGGGATTTAATTGCCCTACAAGTAGTCGTTCCAATGTCTATACTAGTTGGAAGAAAGACATCATATTACTCGGAGATGGGTTTAGCCCACCAGTCCATATTCGAGCTACACACCCAAATGTCTTCTGTCTTCCCATGCAGGGGGTCCAGCTTTCACGCATTGCATGTTTCTGTCAATTGATCATTTCTGGTTGACTCCTGCATGGTGGTTCTAATCTGCATCCCGTGTCGTTCGAAGTTTTGTTCCGCTGAAACGCGAGATCATCAATGCCATGCTCTGCTTGGAATGAGTTCGTCAGCGCTGTCGAGTTCGTTCGTCCGGTTCGGCAGCGGATCGAACGTGGCCCGATCGAGCGGCCAGCACTCCTTGCCATGGATGTGAGGTAAAACCTATGACCTTTTAAGAGGTTGGAGGCCATCGCTAGTAGGTTGGAGGCCATTGCAAGTAGGTTGGAGGCCATCACTGGTAGGTTGGAGGCCATGGATGTGAGGTATATCCCATGATCCCATGACCTTTGAACGCCCTCGGTTTATATATATTACTATATAGACTAGAGGATATACCCCCGGTGGTGGACATCCAATAGGCGGGCTATGTTATATATATATCCCCGTTCCCAGGCGTTCAGTCGATGATTGTGGTTCAGTTGCAGGCTGACTGCTCAAACATATATAGTCATATCATGTTTTACCGACGTTACTGGCAATGGGACTGGTCGGTACCACGACCCACAGCCACATGTGTTTCTCAATGGTTGATTCGCCGATCGCTGCAAACGACGTGCGAACTGTTGGGGTGCTTAAGCCGCCGAGTCCGGCCACAAGTGGAGGCCGGTCCGACCGAAACAAATCGGTCGCAGCTTCCAGAGTGGCGGTCCTGCCCTGATCCTAGCCTCAGTGGAAAACAATCTACTAGGAAATAGACTCATGAGAGTTCAATGTCGATTATAATTACCCTGGTTTTGATTCTATAGTATAGCAGATCTAAAAAACAGCAGTAGGGGCGGTAAAGGTCATGTTCTAAAAACCATCATATTTACTGCAGTGATTTAGTATAGGGTGGGTCAACGTCCAAAGTATATAGGTGTTTTTTCTAATTTCTTGGGGGAGGCTGCCCGCTTGCACCCGTGCCATAATGCTGGTGTTCAGTGACTTTGCTGTATATTTTTTGCAAATCCAAATCGGCGACCCTGCGGTTGTCCTTGCTGTTCGGATTGTAGCCTCCAAGTGCATTGAACCAACCCGCATACACTTTCACAGGCATGCTTTTGTGACAAGTACCTGTAGGCGGTGACTTGTAAAACAACGTGTTTGTCTAGACTCCAGGGTGCATGAAGGGTGGGCAACCCCTCCCCATGCAGCTTCCGAATTGAATTCTGATCTCATCTTGTCTCGTGACTCTTGACACGTGTCAACCTTTAAGAGACACGTGGGTTCTGTACAGCCCGAGTCGAAAACAGAGCCTCGACGAATGAAACAGTGGCGGACCGTGTGGCGTTCTTTGAGAAGATTTCAATCATGCACCTATAGGATTGTCAGAGCCAGTGGTGAATCAATTAGATACCACATGATACCACTATATTTATGGATGTCACCAGGGCCATCATCAGGTCATCATGTTTACCTGCCCTCTCCCCCGAAAAAAATCATCCCTACTGCACTGCATGTGTGCGTCCAAGACATGAGATGCACATGTTGGGGGTCTGCCGGCAAAATTCAGGTTGTGTGGGTTGGAAAACCCGACGTGTTTCAAGACCTTTTCGAGAGAGCAGCTTCTTCCTGTCAGGATTTCAACGATGGTTCCCGATGGAACTCAGTTGTTTGGAAGGGTCTTACAGTTTACAGTGGATTGAGAGTAAATGGCACAACCCCCAAGATGTCTTTTATATAGGGGTCCATATAAACACCTTTTAGGGATTGCGCCATGTACTCTCAACCCACTAACATGTTGTTTTTTGTTTTAACAAGTTCCGTTGGCAAAACTACCGTTTCATTAGCTCCAATGATCTCACTTCAAACATCTTCAAAGCTTTGACCCTTCGTTAGCTGCTTAGCTCAATGTCACCATTGTCCAACCAATGGTTCAATCTGGGGTTGCTAGTTGGGGCGGTGGAAGTTTTTTTTCCTCCACGGTGTCTTCTATTTGTGCCCTTTGACCCCTTGATCAACGGTTGTTGTGTCTTTCTCCACTTTGGATCAAAGGATCAATCCAATCCAACCGAGTCCAACTCCCTGGATCCAGTTGGCCGTCGAGGCCGCGGTGAAGCAGTGTATGGTGGTGGCGCTGACGCGCACCGTGGGCAAGCATTACAAGGCGCGGACGGACGCGCGCACGCACGCGGTGGAGCGGCTCAGACTGAGCGGCCCGAGCATGGTGGGGAAAAAGGTTAGGCCGATCGGTGATCATTCGCTGAATGTTGTGTGAACCACACGTCAGGTGCTTGGAACGACGCAGGTTTGGTGGAATTGTGGTTCTGGACACCGGCTTTCCGAAGGTTGCGAATGCCTTCACTACCACCTAAGCGAAGCACCACGGTTAAACCCACCAGAACTTGGCAGCACAAACCTGATTGTTCAACAGATGCGATGTGTTCACATGCTTCTTGTATATGTTTTCGACCTCAGTTTCCTAAGTGATGTTGAAGCCCATGTGTCTTTCAGGGGTGAGTGCTGCCTCATCCAAGTGGAATTCCCAGGTGCCTTCGAGGTAGAACAGCCAACCAGACATGTTCCTTTCCCCACATAGACATGTTTCCATAAATGCAGTGCCGACAGGTGTAACATACCTCCAGGTTTAACATGTAGACATGGAATGCCCTATTTCCGGAAAGAGCCACATGATGACGGAAAGGCACCGCAGGCGGCACAGGATCGGTCGAAGAGTCGGAACGCGAGCGTGCGGTAATGCGCGCCGTATTAGGCCTTGCCCGAGCTGGACGATTTCCTCTTGCCTTGCCGGCAGTGTTGATGTTGGAGCGGATGGAGAGTCGAGATAATGAGAAGGGTTGATCGGAAGGATGCACGGAAGCTCTGGAGGGCTGGACTTCCGACTTTTGAAGGTGCCTTCCTGATGCAAGTTGAAAGGCTTGAAACTTACACCATGGCTTGAGGCAACCCTGGCAGGAGAGAATCACATCCCCCAAAGGCCGCAACTCTTCGATTCGAGTGCCTAAGGCTGCCTAAAAGCCATCCTTCATTTGAGGTCACAAATGACAACAGAATCCTTTCCAGTCGTTGAACCTCCCGGAGTTGAGAGACACAGAAACTCAGCATTTTGTTGCACGAAAAATAGACGATGTCGAGTCAGCTTGCAGATTGGTGTCTAAACATGTGTTGAATGAACATGCTTTTGGGTTCTCTTAAGTGCATTCTACATCATCCTACCAAATGTCAGATTGGTTCTTCACTTGTGGAGTTTTGGTAGAATGAACTGAAGACTGCGCCACTGTCTCCAGAATTCTCTCCTGTTGTCTAGTGATTCATTGGTTGGATCGACCTACAAACGTACTCCGGATGGATGTTGGAAGACCCGGATGTTTGCTAGATCCAAAGGATTGGCTGGGTGCAAGTCCAATCTTGGGGGAGTGTACAGTAAGTAGATCGTGTTTTCTTTTGTTCCATGTATTTTCCATTTGGTGACCTTTGTAACCTCCCAATCCTCCCAACGTTCTGCAGGCTTTTGATATCAACAACATTCAACAATCATACGCACACCCCTTGGCATGAATCCACCCACCCGCCAGGCGTATCTTAGACATGTCCATACCTCTTTTGGATGCCGAGCCAGAGACCTCAGGGTGAAGGGGAACTTCCGAAGACCAATCAGTCCCAGGTGGTGTTCACTTCAAGTAACTATGATTCGTTTAAGGAGGGGACATGGATTGTGTTTTGATAGTCCAAGACGAAGAAAAACAGCTTAATCCTCCAATCGGTGTCGTAGTATTTGAACAACTTTGGGATGGATGATTGTAGGTAATATTGATTTGGGCAACTGTCAGGTGTTTTGCTTGCGTTTGTGATGATGGAACATAGAAAGTGAGGGGAGGAGCCTCACATCATGATCAGGCTCTTAGCAGGCGCTCTCCATTTGAGGTTACAATTCGTTTATGATGGATTCGTTCCGCTTTTTTCGCACGAGTAGATGCTGCTGAGCCTCTACTTCTAGCACACGATTGTCCTCAGCAATCCCCATGAAACGATCATCCCCTCGGTACTAGCTACAATAGTCAAGAGCAAGTCAATAGCCCAGATGGAAGCTTTGGGGACCAGGCTGCTTCACCAGAAAGGATGAGTGCTCGATCATCTCGCTGGGTTCAGTTTCGTGCGACGATCAGGAAAGCCAGCGGAGACGCTATCAAACACTTGTCCCAAGAAGAGTGTCTCAATCGCTACAGAACCGTGATGTTGGTGTATGCATGTAGATGGCCCACAATGGAGTAAATTGTCGAAGGGATGATTGCGGCCCCTGCTGTATTTTCGAAGCCTGAGTTCATGAAACGGTATACTGCTGCTGTTGCCGCTGCTGCTGCCAGGAAGGCTATGGAGTCTGATCTCGTGGAAGAGTTTTTTGACTCGAATCACACAGCCTCAGTCCCATTTGAATGACAGCCTCGTGCTTTCGAGCAGCCTGAGAAGCCGCCGCTCAACCGACTTCGGAAAGCAGCGTTTGATCCCATTGATATGCGCATCCTAAACCCTGCTGAGCATCCGAGGTATGTTCTTAAGTGGGCGCCGAACGCATCAACAGAAGCTGGCGAAGGGAACAGCGTCTTTTTTTCCATGACAAAGGTCGAAGACGAAGATGAAGGATCAGTCGTCGAAGAGTCCATGGCCCAATGTCATCCAACACCTTGGTCTTTTGGAGTTTGGATGCCGTGCGCCAGAACGAATGACTTGCCGTTCCGAGACAAGACATGGGTTCGGGTCCTTTCACTTCAAGGTGCTTTTCGTGTTTGGACTTCGCTATCGAAAGGAATCAACTGCTGAATCAAAGACTCTGTGCTAGTCGGCTAGAGGTTGATTTGTATTGGAACCTTTTGGGGGTTGAAACATTGCCACTCATAGGGGCACCATGTAGCGCTTGAAAAGCGGCATTGCGCCGCCTGCGGGCATGGACAATATCATCTACCGTCCTCCTGATCCTTTGGAATTACCTGAAAAGCATTGGAAACTTGGACAAACAAAATGATAGGAGATTGGCAGTTGCTGAACCCTTCTGCAATTCGCAACACCATAAGGTGTTTGGATGTGTTTGGATTTGTTTGGAGGTTTTTGTTTTTATCATGTTTGGGTTGGATGTTTGCGTGTTGAGGGCTTGTTGTTGCTTTCCATACGCCCCAGACTTGATCAGCTGCCTTTTCCAGCTAACATACTCAACATGGAAGACAACCTCTACAAACCACTAATAACCATTCATCTCAAAGAAACCATCACAGGATCCATGGACTCCCTCTTTTCGAAGTTCCCACAAGTCCCCCCGATCTTCGAACACGTCGCGTTCCGTGCTTTTTTAGCACAAGAAGCTGAGGTTCACCCTGTACATGCCCGTTCTGTACAAGTTGGCCATTGAGGGTGGCCGCCGCGTGCCCCAGGGAGGGGCACCGTTGCGGGGTCTGGAGGTCGGCGGGTTCCCAGTGACTCATGTGGAAAAAAAGGGTGCTATGAACTGTGCGACATGTTTTGGGTGGTGTCAATGTGAATCCTAAAAACACAATGACACATGACACACATTATTGACTTTTCACTTTACTGGGTGAGGTTTGATCCAGTCTCCTTGGGGACCGGCGACATGTGTGTCATGTTTTTTCGGGGAACAGAGGGAAGCCAAAAGATTTATTCGATCAATTTTGACAGTGGTTGGCCAACTTCAAATTTGCATCCAATTGGATCTGGAAATGTTCATTCTGAACAGGCTCCGCCCACACGAACAACACCTGTTCGAGGGTTTCTTCATGCAATGTTGAGATTTAGTGCAATCGCTTCATTGCAGCAAAGAAAATCCGATCACACGCAAATCTAAGGTCATGAGAACCTCCTTTCTTGGTATGTACGGTACATACCTCGATCTTTTTTTGATCCCACACATAGACCAACACTTCCACCATCCAACAAACACCGTCGTTTCGACGGCAGGTACAAGGGCCCATGCTCAGCCGTCAGATCCACCTACGCGTGGTCTGGGCACTCTGATGAGATCTCCGCGTGGGTTTGGAGTCGTTGATGTTCCGTGGAAAAAGCAGAACGACCCAAGTGGGTGACCATGGGCGGCGCCTTAGTGATTTATTCCTATGGCCCATGTGACCTCTATGGGGCCCCAAGTGGGTGACCAATTGGTTTAGTTTTGGTGTTCTGGTAACCATATTAATCAGATGTTGATGCTACTCACTCTGGAGGATGCCACTCACTGCAGCTGAGGTGGATTTCGCACGGTTGGACGTACAGCGAAATTCGGAGCAGCATTCGTTCCCTCAGTAGGGGACTGAGGTTCTTCGATATCCACCCGAAGGGTCCAGGACCATCCGTTGCTCGGATGTCCTGCGTTCGGCCCCAGTTCGACCATAGGAAGGATGAACTCACCTCCCTTCGACCATCCGAGCAACGGATGGTCCTGGACCCTTAAGGCCATAGCTCCTTTTTGAGCCAGGTTGTTGCGTGTCACCCCCGTGGTAGTCCCCCCGTGGTGCTCGATGCATTCAATAGGTGCACATGATCCCAGTCTAACGTCACCTACATCACCTGTTTCACTGGGTGTTTGCGGAATCCATGGTTGCTTCCAAGCACGGGACACTCAGTGTACCAAACCGAGGGTTTTCCCTGCCCAGACACTCCATGATCCGATGATCCGGTCGATCCTCCATGGAACTGGAAAATAGATGCCATGTTGACCCCTGGCGATTCACCCCGCGGCTTTTGATGGAGTGGTATAGGTATACCGTATGGTATACCATGGTGAAATGACCGCCATTTTTGACCAGTTCACCGACTGGCATAATCTGACTGGCTGATATGACGGAATGCTGGTGCCACTTGGTCCATTTTTCCTTGGGTACATACCCAGACACGACCCGGACCTGGGACTGCCATGTCGGACTGCCTTCAAACCGGCCAGGGGTGGTGGTTGAAGTCGGGGGGTCGTCTGGACCTGGGGCGGCATCGGACTGGCAGTCCCACGAGTCGGGTTTGGGATATCAAATATACCACTTATGTATCCCAAATACTCCATGGGACTGCCATATACTAGTGTCAGATGTATCAAATATATCAAATGTCTGCATAGTGTCAGCGATTCTTGGTGACCTTTATGCAGGTCTCGCAGGTCCAAGGATCCGCCCATGTTCAATCCTCGACACGCCAAGCGCACGCGGCCGAGGCCCGCTTGCTGGAGCAAGCCGTCGTCCGAGCTCCCAGCTGTCCAATGGTGACTCCCAAAAGAGGTTGAATGGTCGAGATTCGAGATGAACACGAGGGCGGTGTTTTCTTTTTGGATTCCGAGGGATTTCCAAGTCATGTTTCTCCAAATCTGTTTTGGGATTCCAAGCGGTTCAGAGATGATCACCTTTTGGGGGTGCATTTTGGGGGATGATCTCTATTTGTGTCCTAAGAGGCTCATGAATTTGTACGTAATTGTACCATTCTGCTGACCAAAAACAGCCCACTGCAGCACTTGTCATTATTTGTCCATCATTGTCCCATTCTAACTCGCCCCCCTCGGTTCACCTCCAACTCCTCTTGTGACCGACCGCGCAAAGAAAACGCGCGGTCGACCGTCTGACGACATGTCGTCGACCGGTGAGGGGACAGAAAGACCGGAGAAGCGGCTTCAGCCTCCGCCTCCACTTTGGTCAGTTAAGCACCTTAGCCCAACGTGAGGTTCATCTCCAAAACCACCAGTTCTGCTGACCAAAAACGGCTCACTGCAGCAGTTGTCATGAAAAAACAGCAGCGGTTGGGGCCAGTTTGTTGGTTGAGGGTGGTGGGTGTTCGTATTGTTTCTCCTTTTGCGGTTTCAGAGAGCCGCCGGCCCCGAACGAATACCACACGTGGCCAGGTGGAGTCAGACTTTGTGGGCCAAACGGAATCGTTTGAGCTTCTGGAATCCGCAGTAACTTAAGAGAAAAGGGATTCCTTTGGTAGTGATTCTAAGTCTAGTAGTCATTCAGACAATTCCAGTCCAATTGGAATTAGCAGTTACTTTGAAGATTAGATCGGTGGTCCATGCTGGTCCATCTCAACTCGAACCCCATTTTCGTGTGGGGGGGATGTGGTGGATGAACATCCAGGGATTTTCCTTCACTGAAGATTGGGATAAATTGGGATGCCCATGTCATTTTGCAGCGGGCGTGCCCCCCAAAAGAAGGGAACAGGTTTTTGGGTGCCCAGGTGTGACCAGAACAGAAGTGAACAACACAAACGCACTTGCGTCAAGGGTTTCGGTCGTGATGTCAAGTTGCTTTTGGGTCTCCCCTTCAGTTTCTGTGTTCCACCACCACAAACATATACAAGGCCCTTGGTGTTTCCCTTTATGTCTTTATGAGCACTCTTTGAGCTGCCTTTTGATGAGGTGTTCGCCTTGGAGGGAGGGAGAGAGAGAGAGAGAGAAAGAGGGAGAGAAAGAGGGAGTGAGGGGGTAATCTGGGGGCAGGAATTCAGGATTTCATCATATTTCATCTTTGTTTCACATGAGGAGTAGCAATCACAGCTCATCGAAGGCCTCGAAAGTCGGCCTCCGAACCGCTCCGCGCCAGGCTGGACTGGAATCGGATGTGCCCGGGCCCTTGGGACGCGACGGACGCGTGAGGCTTTGGTGCGACCGAGGCGGAGACGGGAACAGGAGAGCTGGGAAGACTGCGGGTGTTCTGGCCATATCAGTTTCGAGGGGTAGTAGCTGGGACGGGGGTGGCGCCAAGATGGTTTTCACAGAAGACTTATTAATCCAGAGGAATATGCAGGGTGCTGGATGAAGACCTTTTGAAGGGACCCAGATCTCCTTAACTCTTCCACACGGTTCTTAGATTCTTGGGGCCTTCCCAAAAGCTTCCCCAAACAAACAGCCCCAACAAGGATTCGGAGGGACTGCTGTCCCCACAGTTCGGCATGGTTCACCCATACGTTCAACAGCTGAACTCACAAAAAATAGCACACCCCAAAGGGATGGTTTAGTGAGATTTTTGGTGGGGAGAACTCAAACATCTTATTGAAATGTCCACAAGGTCCTCTTCGCATCGATGATAAAGAAATAACTTAAAACACACAATCAAGGGAGAAGAAACCCTTGATAAACTCAATGTACGTAGACTCCTCATTAATCAACCCCGCATGTAAAGAGGTTTAGTAGTTCGTAACTCGTAACTCTTAGTCTTGCTGTGCAACTTGGCAAAATATTTGTTGGGCTGTTTGACATGTGAAAGTAAACCATCCAGTCAAACCCAAACAGGGTATCCATGAATATATAGCCACCTATAGGCCCTGTCGGGGTCTGTCGGGGTGTCCATGAACCACTCCTGTCCTGGGTGTGGTGTGGTGATGTGCAGGACGGCACCTGCGACCACTTCGAGTGTGGTCTCGGCCTTTTCGTCTCGGTCGGTCCTTTGACGTGGAACCCGCTCTGGTCTGTGCGTTCAGGGTTTGCCCGTTGACCCTGTGAAACACATGGGTTTGGTCCACTCCTCAGAGAATCTTCGAAGTGGAAAACCAACAGCGCAAAAATGGTTCTATCCACTTGTAGAGTCTACATCTTCGTCCAAGGCCCAAGGAGCCATGGTCTCCACGTAGCGACGATTCCAGGGAGTGTAGGACATTGGATTTCGGCCATTTGCCTACCGAGTTGGACGTCGAAATGATGTCAACATGATCACCCGCGAGTGACATCACTACCCAAGAAACTCCATGAGACTGCCATATTTGCCGATCAAATGGGGTGGTTGCATGGATTAGTGTAGGCAAATGGGCCAGTTCCATGAGTCTGGGCTAGAGGGCTAGACATCATCAGATGGTTGGATCGATCTTACGGATGGATCTTGACCAGACCTGCCGTGTCTCAGGATGAAGATTGAGGGCTACAACGACGAGGCATGGTGTTCACATGGTGCTGAAAAGAAACGTCGTGAAGCGTGAGCCAACCCCCCTCAGGGCCATTTTCTTTCAAGTTACAAGGTATCATAATGAATGTCTTTGTTATTTGAGATTTCACAGAGTTTGAACCAATCGGAACCACCCAATCGGTGCAGAACCTATCTTGGCTGTAGGTCTGGCGGTAGATCTCGCCCGGTCTGTGAATCCCTTTTCGTCGGGTTGAAGCACTTGATCCCGGTTGACGCCCGACTGAAGCGGTTGACAGCAGTCTGCAGCCAGCCTCCCTGAGTGTTTGATGAGATTGTTGTGTTTGGTGGGACAATGGTGGTAAATATTATAAGCAATGAAAAGGTTCCATTTGGGACTAAGAACCTATATAGATGAAGACACATAGATTATAGTCTAGAAACATAGATTAGATGACAAGTCCAAAGATTCAAGAATACAATTCCCAATGGGTGCACAGAACACTTTCTTCGTGGGTAACCAGTGCTTCCGAGAAGATTTAAGGTTAACACACCGAATCTATGGAAATCCTGAAATACCAACTCGCAGTCTGACTGGGGAATGGGGTCCACTGGCCTCCGAACACATACCTTTTCCATCCTTTTCTCACTTGTTAACTGGCCTCGCCTTTTCTCAAAGCTGCCCACACACGCACTCATATGGCCATGCAAGCACGTTTTGTGCAGTTGGATGTTTGGCCAATCCAAAAACGATAATATCCGTTCAATTCCTCACTACTAAACACATGTACTTCACATTGTGTTCCATTGAATTCCCCTCTCTTGGCAGTGACGGTCGCCTCTTTTCACGTTGCCATCCCTTGGGCATCGCGATACGATCCCTTCAGTCCAGGCCTCGTGACGGTCGATGCGTCAGCTTCATTTGATTTCGACTTGAGAAGCTCAACCAACCTTGGACATTTTGATCTAACAAGAGCCCCCACTGCCCTGTGACAAATGCCTTTTTATGCTGTTTTCCTCCGGATGACTGCCTGACACATCAATAATTAAGAGTTGTGGCGCCCTTCAAGAACATCTGTGAAAACCACTGTGTTTCGTGAGGTTCTTTATGTTTTTCCCCACCTGTCAGGTGAGGGTTATTAGATTTTATGTCATCTGCCTTGCTCCTCCGCCTCCTCGTCCTCCTTGTCCGCCGCCTCCTCAACCGCAAGTGTCGGATGGCAGTGTTCCCCGCCGGACCTCAACCGCCAGCTCCGGATGGCAGTGCTCCCCGCCAGACCTCAACCTCGAGTCAGAAGATATGCCAGGTAGAACGCCAGATAGAATGTCAGAAGATATGCAGAAGACACGCCAGATAGAATGCCAGAAAGAATGTCGAAAGAATGTCAGCAGATATGCCAGAAAGAATGTCGGAAGATATGCCAGATAGAATGCCAGAAAGGTTGGTTGTCAGCAGAGATGCAAGGACATCACCCAGAATGTCAGAAGATATGCCGGAAAGATGTCAGACAGTATGTCAGATGAAAGAATGTCAGAAGACATGCTAGAAATATTGTCTGAAGATATGCCAGACAAATGTCAGAAACAATGTCAAAGATAGAACGAATGCTGAAATCATGTTTCAATACATGCCAGAATTTTGTCAGACTAAAATGTCATGGTGAGGGTCACTCGAGGTAAAGTAATTTGTTATTTCTTCTCTCTGGTGTTGTTTCACCTGATGAAGTAGGTCGCGGTCCTTTTTTGGGGGCGGCCCCGCGCGCTGCTCCATTTGTTCGCCAAATCGATCCACGTTCTCGGTTCGTCTCGTCGTAGGACGAGGATCAGCCCGTGATGGGGCCGAAGTTGGACAGCAGAGGACGGATGCAGTTGGGGACACCCAGGATCAGCCCAATGGGAGTGGGACACCTGCCCGCACGAATACGTGGCCACAAGAATTGGCGGAAATGGCGGGGCTCGGTGCGCGTCGTGTTGACGTGGGGGTTGTGGTGAGTTCATTTTTGAGCGTGTCGTGTTTGAATGGTTTTGGTGTGGTCGGGTGTAGTGATGTGTACTGTAGTGTTTTGTTTTGGAGGATGAAAGAACCTGGAAGTAGGTAGTGGGGAACCGTGCAGCTTAGCAGCTTAGCAATTGACTTGATTACCTTCGGTCCAGCTGTGCATTGCCATATATGAGATGTGGATACAATCCATGAGATTGGGGATTGGGTCGGATAGATTCGGATAGATGTTTAAATTCCGTGTTGGCATATTGGCCACGCGTGTTTGGGGAATTCGCTTGGGTTCCCTGCATTTTGAGTCATTTTGTGATGCTGGGGTGTGGTGCACTGAGCATGGTCAAGTGTGGTCAAGTGAATTCTCTTGCTACAAATCCCAGAAAGGTTTGGCTGTGCAGGTCAAAACCGGGACACCCTGTGAGGCCCCACGAAGGTGCATCGAACTCGGCCAGTGAGCGTTTGTTACAAGTGGTTTACTTTTTTGGACTAGTCTTTGGGACACTTGGCAGAAGAGATATTCACAACAGCATAAATATTGTTACGACACGGAAGAAAAGGTAGAGATGAACATTCTTCATTGGCAGCATGACAATTTCAAAATATTTGCGGAACGAACCGCGGTGATACACTTCTCACGGCCCTTAGCCATGCACTTCTCACAGGTGGTGCTTGGCCTTCCTCACGGCTTTGGCCACGGTCCAGGCACGGGGGAGTGCTCTCACAGGACTTGATTTTCCATTAGGTTCCTACTTGCCCATGCACTGAATACATACATTGACATACATTGGGGTGGTTTCAGGAGTGGGTGTGGGTGGGTGTGCCCGTCCCATGGGGTGTCTGGGTCAGGGATGGTCAAAACCTGCAAAGATTAATCTTTCGGTTGACCTTGTGCAACATCGGGGGGAGACTCCAATGACCCCCAAAATAGTGTGAAAAAGACAAATCGTCACAAAAGCTTTTGTTGTTTTATTTGTTTACTTATTTTTGTTTTTCGTGGCTTCTGGCTTCTGTGGCTTTTGGCTTTCGTGGCTTCTGCGGCCTTTGTGGCTTTTGGCATTGGTGGCTTTCGTGGCTTCTGTGGCTTTCGTGGCTTTCGTGGCTTTTGGCTTTCGTTGCTTCCGTGGCTTTTGGCTTTCGTGGCTTCTGTGGCTTTTGCGAGCTGCTCACCTTTGGATCTGGTGTCCTGATGGGGGCGGCGCTGCGCCCCCCCCGCACCCCCCGTGCCACGAAATCTGCACTTCATCTCCGACACCCGCGCCTGCCACGAAATCAATATTTTAAGGTGAACTCCCCGGTGCAAAAATTTATTTCCAAGCAAATATGCCTTTTGTGCTAGTTATCTTTCGATTTCTCTTTGCTGTTTCTCTGGTCTGTCTATCTATCTATCTATCAACCTATCTACCTACCTACCTACCTACCTATCTCTCTATTTTTCTTTCATTCATTCATTCTTTCTTTCTTAATGTATCTATCGATCCATTTATCTTTCTATCTGTCTATCTATCTAGCTATCTAGCACCTGCCACGAAACCTACACTTCAAGGTCCACAGAGTGCTGTGCCTGCCACGAAATCTGCACTCCAAGGCCAAAGTCCTGCACCTGCCACGAAATCTGCACTTCAACATCCACAAAGTACTGCACCTGCCACGAAAACTGCACTTCAACATCCACAAAGTCCTGCGCGTGCCACAATCTGCACTTCAAGGTCCACAAAGTGCTGCACATGCCACGAAACACGAACCAAAAAAATCCCAAACAAAGTCCTGCGCCTGCCACGCACTCTGCACTCCAAGGCCCACAAAGTAGTGCAGGTGCCACGAGATCTGCACTTCAAGGCCCGCAAAGTACTCCACCTGACACGACATCTGTACTTCAAGGTCCACAAAGTCCTGCGCCTGCCACGAAATCTGCACTCCAAGGCCCACAAAGTCCTGCACCTGCCACGAAATCTGCACTTCAAGGTCCACAAAGTACTGCACCTGCCACGAAACACCCCTCAAATAAATGCACACGAAAAAACCGAAAAACAATTCACAAATAAATCCGCAGCCATTAGCTTTTTCATTGTATTTGGTACCATGTTTGTCATGCCCAAGGGACCGCCCCTGGTCACTCCACGTCCTTCCCAGTGTCATTCCCTGCAGGGTTTGCCGATTCGAAGCGACGGGGGGTGGGTTGCGAGGAGGCTGAACGACCGGCATTCTTGGACAGAATGTGTGTTTGTTTCTTTGAATTTGACATTAAGCTGGCTTAGCTGTATGGCCACACCCACCAAAGATCTTAAACCTTTAAAGGGGAGCAGAAAGGAGCAAGGAGCATCTCTAATCAACTCAGTAGATGTGCAAACAAACAAGGGCTCAGAGGTCAACTGAGCACTTTGCTCAGAGGAAACCTTTCAAAACTTCAATTTTGGGGAGACCTCCCCAGGCCTGCCATAGACACGCCCTGGACGCCAATTCTTTCCCAACATCGATGACCCAGGATCTGGGCCGGATAGGTGTTCCTGGTTCAATTATCCCGGCAAGAGACCTCAAACAGTGTGTGTGCGAGGTCTGTCTATAAGCAGAAAGTCTCAAGATCTAGACGCATTGGAGTCCAGAGAGGTGATGAAGGTATAGGGATCGTGGTGACGGTGGTGGTGGGTGAGTGAGTGCGTGAGTGCGTGAGTGCGTGAGTGCGTGAGTGCGTGAGTGCGTGAGTGAGTGAGTGAGTGAGAGAGTGAGTGAGTGAGTGAGTGAGAGAGTCAGTGAGTGAGAGAGTGAG